AGCTGTTCAGGCTCATCTATTTGATCTCTATCAGCTCCAAAGGAAATGAGTGGGATAACAATTTTCTTACCATCAAATATTTCATCCCCGTCATTCATGAGTTCGTCATCAGAGCAAATATTCAGGACATTCACCAGCATCTCTGTAACTGAAGGAAACAGCAAGACATAGTGAGGGTGGTTTCTCCTAGTATCTACAGACACTGCTATAAGTATCAAACACCAGCACCTCACATTTGACTCTTCAATTCTAAACAGATTTACTTTTTAATGCAATGGAAACAAATATGAAGTGATAAGAAAATTAATTTTAAATAAGCTCAACACTGCAAGGAATCTTTGGAACCTCCAAAAGAAAAAAAATAATGTAATTTTTGACAATGTAATAGAGTGTAATTCAGACGGAGAGAAAAATGTTCAATGATGTAGAGTCAGGAAAAGTGAAAATGTTTTCTGGCAAAATTACAAAACGTAGTCCAAAATAAAGTTTGTTTAATAAATCCTGCCACCTTTAGAACATGTCATCTGGCTTTTAAAACCAGAAAGCATTTCAAAAGCATCATTTTGTATCATTCTAAACTCCCATTCAACAGATGATGTGGTTACATGTGTGTGTTTTTATTTGATTGTATTATGTGCTAATCTTTTATGGAATCATGCTAGGCTTGCTAAAATGACTCAATTAGTTACAGATTGATTTCAGAGATGTTAACAGTATTGGTGAGAATTACAAAGACAGTAAGTATATTTGAGAGTCTCAAGCAATATATTTTAATTTGAAAAAGAGCAGCAGGATCTGTGTCAGCGGAATAGACTGCAATGAGCTTTTAGGCTCTGGAAAATGCAATGTGTTTGTCGAATGGATGAGGAGGTTGTGCCTGAATTTGCCTCACTTTTGCACTGACACACCGTGAGCACCTTGGCACCTCACTGTTTGCCGCGTGCTCCTTGTCCACACGAGAAAACACTCAAATATTTTTATAAAACCAGTACTGTCCTCTCAACTTGTTATTGACTTACCTTTCTCGCCAACAAAGGGCAACGACCAGGTGAAGACGTCCATGAAGTTCGGAAGCCAGTAGGGATGAGGTGAGCAGTTGAACTGCCGGATGTTCATCACGTTGTTCTCGTACTTCAGTACCGCAGCTACAGGCAACAAAGATCCAGGACAGAAGAGTCCAGGAGACCAGGCTGAATTATTTATCCTTATTTACCAGAGCACATGCTCAGCAAGATGCCTTCTCGGTCAGTTTTATGTGTTTATTTCTGTCATTGCAGTTCCTGCTAAGTTGCTTTCTCCTTTTACATGTTACTTCTTAATACTTATAATTATTAGGAAATAACACTTATAATTCCAAGAAATTAATCAGTCAATCAATCACTTACATCAAGCCATCCTAGGTCTTTATGACCCCAGTATCTACTCCAACCGGCCTCTTTAAACCCTTAATTCAACTAAATCCCCAAATTTGTGGATTTTATTTTATCCACAACAATTCACTTTGAAATTAATACGTTCAAGGAAGGGTCCACTTGAGCAGCTGAAAATCGAGCTGAACTGGAAACCAGTTGAGAACTGGGGCTGCAGTGTGCAGTATGTGCTCAGGCTAGAGCACTGACTGTTCTTTCTCAAGGCATTAAAAGAGACTGCTGCATTTAAGACTTTTTAAATCTATTTTACTGCAGGTCACCCTTGAAAAGTCTTCATAAAATATCCAAAGAACTGCTAGGATACTAAATTACAGTGGCTTGTACAGCAATGCAGTGTAACAGCCTGTGTGCTGGACAGAGACTGACAACATATAATTTGGCAGGAGAGAAAGTGAAAGTAATCACATACAAAAGCAATGGTCTAGCAGTCGGTGACACACTTGACTTTTTTAAATTAGTCCCTGGAGTTCCACTTTCAAGGCATTTAAAAGGCGAGGAAAGGATTTAAAAATGAACCCTTTGAAAGAACAAGCCTAATAATTACACTGCAATACAAATAATTGCAGTATAATAATGAAATAATGTTTCATGGCCACTGGCATTTATTTTTGTTCCAGTTTCATATTTCGGCTGAAGGGAATGCCAAGCTTTGCCCGATTGCTTTGTCTCTGAGCGCAGAGGAAACCGAAAGAAGGAAAAGGAGGCCACTACAGCTACACACAAGAGAAAGTGACCACTTCCCAGCTGCCGAGGGGAGCCCTTCTCTCCTCTTAATCAGTGCCAGTCAGAGGGCACAGCATCACTCTCTTGGCCTGGCACTGATGTGTACAGCAGTGCATGACACAGGGCTCTGCAGTCGGAAGGTGACTCCTGAAACAGACAGGGCCTCAGTTCTTTGGCTACGGCTACAGACCTTCCTGCTTCTTATTCCTTAAAACATGGACAGAAACACTTGCGCTGGTCTTTTGTTCAGACCTTTTTATCCATAAACTTAAATTAATTATACAGATCTTTAAGAGAGATAGATATGAAAGAGACTGATAGATTGATTGCTGTTGACATGTTTTCCTGCCAAGATCCAGAGCATTTAGAAAAAAAATAACTTTAGCTTATTGATTTGCTTAAAGCATGTTAAATTATTTTAATTTATGATGCTCATTGTTATTATTATTATTATTATTATTTTCAAGAGCTGCTCCATCTGTGGAAAAGCATTTTGAACTAATTCTGTAGTTCAGTTCTCATTCCAGCAGATGGTGGCATTTAACATGCTGTGCCCATCCCACCAGTGAAGAGACACCACTCTTCAAGAACAAGCTACTGGACTCGAGAAAATTGATTGATGTGCATTGAATTGGGTTTCACGGGGGTACTGTGAGGAGGAAAATCATTCTTCATCACCATGAAAAAAAAACAGTCTTCTTTTTACTGATGGATGATGACCAATCAACAGAAAATCGTTTTTATCACCCGCAGTTATGAGAGGCTGGGTTTTCTATATTTTGAGAAGCACCACAAATACAGTATACAGTATTTATCTAATATATTAGATAGTATATATCTAATATAGCAACAAACACAATCTGTTCAGAGCCCCGATCTTACATCCAGGTTCACAAAAGGCAGGATCTCAACTGCAAAAGGTCATTAGACTGTTAATATTCTAGGCTTTGGCAAAACACAGTACCAGACAATAAATTCATCACCTCCTCATCACTGCTCCCTGCTACCCAATGATTCTGAAAAGGTCTTGGGTCTCTGTTATTCTCAAAAAAGCCTTCAACCCTCAGCCCATCCCTTCCTGTGGTCAATACTGCCCTGAACAAGCTCTTTGTTCTTGAAAGATTAATTATTACTCTTTTCCTTCAGGCACGTTCAAATAGGAGCTATCGAGCTGGAGGGAACAAGCCTTTTGGAGATTTGTGAGAAACACAAGTGTCTTGTCTGCCACTCACAAGCACAGTGGCCACGATCTTTCACATAAGATCACCGAACACAAGGAAATCAATGAAGCGAAAAGGCCATCCGCCTACGCAGCCTTTTGTTACGCTACGCAGAACTGATGGGACTTTGCAGAGTGAACCTCTGGGAGTCTGGAGCCACAGCCCGTCTCAGCTCAACCTTGTTCCTCTGGCTCCACAATTTTTAAAAGGATTGTAGTGGTCTTTCATTATGTAGCTCTTATTTAGAGTAGTGAAATGATCATTCAGGAGGAATAATAGCAACAACGAGTGGAAAAGATCAAATCTTGTATTAGTGTTAATAACTATAGTACTATAAGATAATTCTAGACTGAGTAAAGTATGGATATACTGTACATTTCATATATGAAAAGTGTGAAGACTGTAAGACTGCAGGAACCATCCCCCTCCTTGCCAGTAGCAATCCTTCTCAGACACGTTAAGGGAGCAAAAAGTGAAGAATGGAATATTGAATTAATAATTAGCATCTTTTTCAGCCCTGGGGCTCACTGTGACTGTAACTGAATCTGGGAAGAACAGCTTAACTCATGAATACATCACATCTGTGGCAGCTTGTTTTTGGAAGGGCAGTACTAATTTTCGTCTTGGCTTTGGTCCGTGGGAGAAAGTTAATAGGACCAGAAACATTTCACCCAGAACCCTGAGTAAAATGTGTAATTGACAGAATGAGTATTTCTAGGGCACAAACAATTAAATAATACTAACATGTCCCACAACACCACGACCTATTGAATAGAGCAGTTAGACGATGGATGCGATATGCTATGTACTGTAAGTTACAGCAAGAATGTTCAATTTATATAATAACAGAACCTCACAGAAATAGGTAATTATACAATGGAGTTTTTTCAATGTTTTAAAAAAGTTATAAAATAGGGAATTATACAATGGCAGCTTCTAACCATTTTATTGTCAGGAGGCCTTAGTTTATGCTTGGAGTGTTGTGTTACTGTTCATTGGTGAAACTGCACGATAAGACTGTTACTGTGGAGAAGGAAAGTCACGCTGGAACCTGCTCATGACTGTCGAGGAGAGTGCAGTTGTACTGCGATGGGACATCTCTAAACAAACTACGTGCAGCCAAGAAGGACATCAATGGGAACAGCTGCAATGAGCACTGGTTTCATAACACCCTTCCATTAAACTGATAATTTTAGGACGATTTCCCTGTCAAAAAGTGGCACACTGGTGACCATACTCCCTGCTCACTCTGCTAAACACCACAGGCAACACAATCATGAATCACTGGATCACTTCTCCGCCGGAGGATGGAACAGTAAGAAGGGCAAACCAGCAAATCAAACATAAACAGAAGGAGCTGATGTTGAGAACAGGCCATCCGTGCCTGTTACTTTCCTTAACATGGACTGAACTGCCCGCAGAACCAAGCCTGTGCCTGGTCTGCACACATTAGCATACAGGTATAGCATTTCCTAATATTAGTGTGGACCAGATAAATACTTGCGTTCTGTTTACTGAACTAAATTTTTACTAACTACTGACTTAATGATAACCATTAAAATGTGAGAAAGTTCACTCAGTTCTCCTCTCAGATGTCTTGTCCCAAGACTGAAAAGATGACATTCCTGCAGCATGACCTCATAACTCATCTCCTTAAACCCTGGAATGACTCTTCTCTGAAAATCCTGAAATACAGCTAACATTCAGAAAACAAAACAAATAGAATATTGATTTTTTATAAATATCTAAAATCAAAAGGTCATGCAAAATTAAATTCACTTAATTGAAGTATTATTTTATTGAAATTTTACTTATTAACATATTCATCCTGTATTTCATAGACAATATACTTCCAATAAAGACATGTTTGTACAAAAATAAGATCTATTTGAAGTTTTAAAAACTATGTGACAATCATGTTTTAAGATGGTAACCCGTAATTGGTAACAGATTTAAAAACAGATGGCTCTGCAGTGAAGGGGTTTCAGCTACCTGACACAACACACATAGGATTTTATGCAAGGCTGTGTTTAAAGGAATCCAGAATTCATTTTCAATAGAAATGTTGTATTCCCGCTGGACTATTCTTACTGTTGGTCACTGTTCTAAATGATCTATTTAGTTTAGTGCAGCCTGTACATCTCTGTACCATCCACGGGAAACTCAGTCATGCTCCCTTTGATTATCAGCTGTCATATGGCTATCACAATAGGATCAACCTCAAGTCAGTTATCCGCTGCCACAGTCACAGGCCGCCCCTTACATGAGCCAGGCTCGAACCCACGATCGTAGAGCTCAGGGCCTTTAACCACTGAGCCAGTTAAAAAAGATAAGAGACAGCCCAGAATCACAAGTGGTCAAAGCAGAAGCTGCAAACGAGAAAAGGCCACTGGACCCAAACAGCTGTTTTGCTCACTAGTAGATGATTAATCCCAGGATTTCTTGAAAGAAGTAAAGGTGTCAGTTCTGACAGCGTGACCGCATAGCTTCTTCCAGAGTCCTGCAGCCCTTTGAATCAGTTGGGTGCAGTTAGGACTGGGAGCAGGGGCCATGTCAGCACAGTAAAGAGCAGGTGGGACAGACTGGCCAGCCATGTGGCAGAAGCAGATTTCCTGCACTCATGTGAGCGAAACTGAGGGAACGAATGGCCTTCTCTCCCTTACAGCCGCTGCAGGTGGAGAAGCCCACAACTCAGGCACAGGGGGAGCCCCGCCCCTGAGGACTGAGCAGTCCCAGGCCCAGAGTCATGGGGCAGCAGGCAGGGGCACTTTTCTCTCTCCAGAGACTCTCGTTACAGAGGCCTCTCCAGGGACACACAGCTTTGCAAGTGCTCTACCTTTGGGCTCTGAGCAGAATTTTAATGGGGGGCTGCTTGTCTCCAAGGCTTCATCGCGCAGATCTAATAATTTCCCAGCCAGTTTATAAGAACCGGGGGAGGAAGCGTGCTGTCATTTCCCGGCCTAGCAAATCTGCATCAAAGGAGCCTTAAGAATAATAATATACCGCCCACGTAACCATGAGCACACGGATTCATGGACAGACACTCGAGCTGGGGATGCTTCATTACAGCGCAATGCTACCATTTGATTCCCGTTTCCACAGGAAACAAAACACACACAGATCAATTAGTTATTGTGTTTCAGGAGGCTTTTCAGTCAGCAGAAGAAAAGCACTTTTAAAACCTCTGAAAACTAGAACAAATAATATTAGGAGGATCTATTATCTGTGCAGGACACAGACAAGAAGAAACTGCACAGGTGTCTGTTAGGGAGAAATTCTGCTTCTGAGTGTTTCTTTAACCATCATGTGCTCTAAAAACAACCAAACAGCCAGACAATCAGACTGACAAATAAAGTCCTTATCTGAAACCACAGAGAACAAGGATGCTTGTTTTATGTCATGACGTAAACTAACCTCTTTATCCTGTACTGGTTGTGTATATGTCCTTTGTCCTAACTTACATTACTTACAATAACTTTTATTGCCCTGGGATATTATTCTTACACCAATGGACAAGAACATAAAGTTGATTTCAGTAATATCAGTACCTGCTCTCTTTTGGAAACTCAAGTGGGATTTACACACCTGTAGGCTCTTCTTTAAAGACTTGTCTCATCTAGATATTCAAGTACATCCATGCTGCACTGATATTAGTGTAAATAAAATCTGTGCACAGCAGAAAGAAAACCTTTTATCAAAAAGCACAACAGCACAATATATCAAAACACTAAACATTTAATGTCTAAAAACTTCGCAATGCAATACATCTGTTGATTCACTGAAAGGCAGTGGTCTTCGACTTCAAAAATACAGGATAAAAAATGATAATCAGGCAGATGTATGAAATTTAATTTATGTAAAACGCAAAGCTTTCCTTACAGGAAATAAAAATGTAAGGCAATTATACCGTTCCTAGCAGAGAATGAGGGCATAGTGGGAATAAGATTTAAGAGTTGCAGCAGATTTCTCACTGTCAGCATCTGGGGGATGAACAGAAGCAGTGAGAAAGACAGGCAGAATGCTTGGGTACATAACAAGAGTACAGAATACACAGCCCAGAAACTGAAGCTGGGACTGTGGAACGCCCTAGTTAAACCACAGCTGCACACAATTCTGGTCTCCTCTTTGAAGAAACCCCAGAGAACACCCAGAAAAGAGCAGCAAGACTAATCCCAGGGTTTAAGGAGATATGTTATGAAAACAGATGAAGAAACTTAATCCTTTCAAACTCATTTTAAGATGTCTAAGAGAAGATTTTACTTTTAAATTTTAAAAGGAATAAATAAGGTTAACCCCTAGCAGATATATCAAATTAAGATGAATGAGAAGACATGGGACATAACTGGAAACTTGATAAAGCCCATTTCACACCAATAAAACACAACATGTTTTACAATGGCAATCATCAATGCATGAAGCAGATTACTGACACACTTGGTGGAGACAGACAGGCTTTTGATCGAATCGCTCTGGTGCTCTGAACCACACTGGTGGAGAGCAGCGCTTGTCCTCGTCATTGAATTATACTTATACTTTGAAATGTTGCACTTCTCTCTACCTCAATGTTACACCAATTAGCCGAGGTGACAACATAGTGACAGTGTCACAATGGGCTGGTTTATCTCTGGTGTCTGAGTCCAAAGAGACCGAAGTTGTGGAAAACCAGATGAAAGAGTTCCATTACCCTGTGTGTGTGGACAGGGAACAAACCCTGGTCCATGGATCAGAAAAGTCAAACAGTCAGGAATCTTCATCCACACACTTCATACCATAAAAATCAGAAAGGAAAGAGAATGATGCAGTGTTTTTTGGAGAAAGATGCAGCTGGCTAGACTAAGTGGGGAAGCACATGCTGATCCAGAGGACTAATAGAATATTCCACTCTAACACCTTACAGTAAACTGTCAAATACCACTTTACACAGGGAACAACCTGCTGCAAAAGCAAAAGATCATTATCAATCACTAATAATAGGAAAATAACCTTTAGACTCTACTCTAAAGTGGACAGAACTGCAGGTCATGGGCTGTAATGGTTCAAGCTGTGTGCCTGACATAAATGTGCCTCAGATATTATCCAGGTTCTTGCTGATGCTTGTTTACTTAGGGTAAACTTTACCAACAGCTTCGTACATACATCTGTGGATGTCTGTGATGCACCTGTACAAATGTTATCTCTTTTGTTACATCATGTTGTTCTATGTTACTATGTACAGCTAGATACAGGTAAACAGGATTTATGTCATTCATAATGTGATTATTTTTAATTGTAGAAAATGCAGGAATTCTTTTTTTGCAACTTGCCAGCTTAACAAAATCACTCAGTTAAGCTTAATATAATATAATATTACAATATAATAGCTTATAATATAAGCTACTGTGCGTTCAAATGGTATATTGCTCTGAATATCGAAGACACTCACGCTGTTTACAGGGGAATTTATGGCAGCCCTTTCCATACGTTCTGTGCTCTGCATGACTCATCATTCCCCTCTGTGCTGTTTTATGATACGTATTCGGGTTTTCTGTCACAAGGGGAATTCTGTCTGTACTTGAATAATAAAAAGGCCATTTCCCAACAGGAATTCCTGATTGCCCTTCCTAGTCACGTGCTCATCCAAACAGCATGGGGATCATCAGCAGACCAAATTGAAGAACATTTTAACACAGAGCACTGCGGCTCTATGTTGGGATCAAATGAAAGATGCCCGAGGACTGATATCATAAACTGCAGGGGATGAAAACAGTGACGAAGTGAAGGTGGGAGCTGAGGCGATTCTCTCTGTCTGCCAGCGAGCCCAGTCCAGGGGCAAGTCAGTACCACACCACCTGGAAGAGCAGGTCAGGCGTGAAACACAACATCGCCACGACCTTTCTGCCATCTGAACGTCCGAGCAAAGCCCATACGAGACTCGCCACAACAACCTTCAAGGTGCCCCACCGACACGGGGACCTTAGTAGCCAGGGTCAGAGTTCAGCCTACAATGTCTACAAGATGTCTACAGTGTGAACTACACGCAACATTATTGCACTATGGATCAAAGTCACAACTCATTGTTTCGTCTCCTGCTAATCTGCTGAATGGAAACATGAACTTTGTGAAGTTCTTTCTTCTGGACTAGTGCCAGTATGTCACTTGGAAACTAGTGTAGACATTTCTCCAGTTAAAAGTGCAGAAGCATCCTCATAGGAACAATATTTAATCTTTGGGGTACCACTTCCCTGATACAAACAGGGAACATCCTGTTAAAGAACTTGCTGATTATGAAATGAGATGAGATTCCCTTCATGTTCTGTCTGCAGGCCACATTATTTTCATTCTAATAAATGAAAGAGTCTTCTGACAAGTGAAGAACTGCTCAGTTCTGTTGAAAATTGATTGGTGCTGTTTATTTGCGTTACAGCTTGTGTAAATCACGATACATACTTGCAAGAAAAAAGACTCTAGTTCTGTTCCAATTCGGTCACATGTCTCCTTTCCTTCTGTATCTAAGAACACACCTCATTGGTAACAGAATGGATAAATGTTCATTCTGCAGACTGCTTTAGTGGACACTGTGAACAAATACTCAGAGAGGGTGCATAAAAAAAGCTAAAATCATATAAAACAGCTCTCTGTGAAATAATTAGTTTTATGATTAATTGACTGTTAGATTTAGCACAAGGATGTCAGTTCTACATTGGGAAAGTGCTGTAAAGTCCAAATTAACTAAAATAATAGGAAAAGGTTTTCAATAGGATCAATAGGATCTTCAGCTCTCTCAGACTCTGAACAATTACGATCCTCCCAGCACATGGCCTGTGCTGCTGTACCTGCGGAGCAGGCGGACAGGACCTGGAATTCAGTGGACACCCCAGGGCTACAGGACAGGCTTCTCTGCCTGTGAAGAGCTGGACTGCCAGGGTCTCCGCTAGGTCTGCGTGGCTCTGCTGAGCAGCCTGCAGTGTCACTCTTACAGAGTTTCGATCCACCACGTGTCCTGAATCACCCCAATACCCGCTGGGCTCAAGAGGAGCCCAGGAAGGACTACAAGCAAGCATGGTCTCAGTGTCAGCCAACGTGGACAACAAGCACAACATCAGAGCTGTTCTCTGTTTGTAGGAGTTGCCTTCTCCCAGAAGCATTGGTCTAACGTTATTACACACCAGAGAGTGAGTGCAGATCCTGAGCTACCGTGCCCGAAGCACCCAGCACAGGAAAGTTACAATGCACAGGGCTACACACAGCATTCAGAAACAGAGCTGGCCTCCCAAGTGAGAACTAAAACTGGCTCAGTTACTGTCAGCTGTGGCTTTCCAGACCGAGAAATGTTTTTTTTTTTAATAGGAGCTTTCCTATCTGTAGTTACAGAGGATTTGGAAAAAATATTATTTTGTCCCCTTATGATGTTTGCTTTTCAGTAACTGTGAGCTGTGGTCTTTTTCTGAAATTTTTCTAACAATGTCCATTTGACCAGGCTGCAACATGAAACGTTAAGTGTTGTTTTTAATGACTTCACAGGCTGGAGAAACTCACCTTTGTTATTGTAAACATCAAGGTAGTTTGGTGCTGAGAAAATGGTGATTAAGGAGGGAAAGCCTGTGGTTTGGCTTTTCCGGTACATCCGGTAACTTGAAAAAGAGAAGGGAAAGAGAGGTAAACAACTGAACAACTGCTGCCCAGGTGGTCAAACAACATGAACACATCCAAATAGAAACACGATTTAACAGTCGTGACTGTGCTTGTTAATCAAAATTAACTTTTATATGAGCACTTCAATTAGGGTATTCCAACTGGAATTAATCCCATGTTCATGAATTCTTGTGAGAATTTATTAAATCCCCTTTTCTCTTCAGAGAAAGGATTATATAAACTCAGCTCAGTGGCCAGTGATTTGTAATGTGGGTTTAGAGACTTAACTAGTAAGTACTGTGCACCTCTGTCCACACAGTCTTATTTTTGTTACGTTATTCCACTTCACCTATATGATTGGAATGAAAACGGTTATTAAATTAATTATTTACTTAATTCATCCTACTTAACACCCTTCCTTTGTCTAAAGTTCTGTCAGTGTGGGACTTCAGCTCATATTGACGCACAAATATTATTTTTCTTGTCAACAAGTCGTAGGCATCAACAATTTAAGGAGCTGAAGCAAATTGATATGACAGTGAGCTCACAGTAATTGATTGAACGGAGAAACAAACATCTTTAGCAATAACTTTCATGTGATATTGCTTTTGTTGACAACTGTAATACATGTACATTTACTTGTCTCCACTGAACTAACACTGAACTGCAGAAGACCTCTTCTGTCATTTCTGCTGCTCGGAAGAGGTCAATCTTAGGATTTGCATGCAAGCATACTTCTTTGCATAGAAGCAGACACTTTGGAAATGTGAAGGAACAAGCTGTTGTGTTTCTTTTTTTCTATTTTCAGCATGGAATAAACTTTTACTTGTTCCTCTGCAGCCTACGCAAGTTGACAGCTCCCTACTTGAACTTTGGAAACGTGGTCAGTAGCCCACCATCTGAACAACTCAGTACAGTACAATCTTAATGAGCCCGCTGAAGTTTTTTGGCTAATAATCTTGCCAATATGATCCAGCACATGATCTGCTTTCTCTTGTCTCTCCTCTCTTTGCGGGCTCCCGTGCTCTTGTGTTAGTATTCACACTCTGGACAGGCTCATCCAGGACCTGTACTGTCCATCCACAGATACTGGCGAAGAGGCGCAACAGCGGGACAAGAGTCAAGCTCCATGCAGTGGCAGGTGCAGGACATACCCAGCGTCTTGTGCTTCATGAGCCCGGATAACTGACAGTAGATTATTGTTCTGTAGAAACTCACACACGGCAGGGTAACTGGAAGACATACAGACAGGGAGAGAAAAAAGAGAACCGTGAAACAACAAGACCTCCTTCTTAGTTAGTGAAAATCTCCTCCACATTTACCATAGCCAATGTGAAAAAAAGCCCTTTCAGTTTGCGCCTTGCTTAACAGTGAACTGACAAGATCGTTCACATCATTACTACATCAGTACACCACGTCCATACACAGCCAGCTACTCTTCACCAGTCACCTCTCCTGGAACCGAGCTCAGGATGCTTTGGAGCAGAGCAGTGCTGAGACAGCGGGGTGTTACACCAGAGGCTCCAGCCCTGGTCCTCATTCCAGCTGAGCTCCACTGGCGCATCGAAGCCTGAAGTGAACTGCCTTCCGGGAATACCTGCACGTTTCTTTTCCTGCACAAAACTCTGGGATGTTATTTTACTTGTCAAACACCCTAGCTGGAAGGCAACCTCCAGCATGTTTCAGAGCTGAAAACAATAAATTAATTCAAATTAATCCTATTCTTAAGTCAGTTAGGGATTCAATTGTGTAACTAAGAGCTCAGCTGGAACAAAAACCTGCAGGTCTGTGGTCCTCCAGGATCAGGACTGGGAGCACCTGTAGTCTACGATGCAGACACAGCAGGTCCCTTCTGATAGGCGAAAGAAACCGAATGTAAACCGATGTACTACTGTGAGCGCGTTCAGGCTCATTTAACCTCTGGAACAAACTGCAGACCTCGGATCGGGGTCATATACAGGTTAATGACAGTTTTAGGCACGACTTTTCAAACGGCAATAAAAATAGTGAAGAAGCTAATCTGAGCAAGGCGCCTACAACATCCTCTCATCCTGACTGCTTTCTGTCCCCACAACTGCTCTGAACGAGGCGAGAGCAGCTCGTTGGCATAGCAACCCCACACTGCAAATCTCCGATCGACTGTGGAGAGACTTGGGCGGTGAAACACATCGCACTGCTTGGGAGAGCTGTGCACTCTCACAATGAGGAGATTCAAGTGAGATGTCTTGGAACCTTCTTTTTCAGTCCATCTTTTTTTGTAACCTAGCAGTCACCTCCTGATCCACCTGATCCACCTGATCCTTTCGATGCTCTACTTATCTATCTAGAAATATCTCACATGTTTCACAAGAGCCTCTTGAAATGAATTTATCCTACGTTTCTCTTGCTCAGCTTTGCTTTTCCTTTTATCACCAGATACTGTAAAACATAACAATGCAATATCTCAGTCATACAAAGTGTTAACATTCTAAAAAATGGTAAATACTGAGATAACAAGAGACATAATGAAAAAGCAGCAGGACTTTCTCACATTGGAGGAGGCGGTTCAACACATCAAGCTCATTTGGTTTCTAGAAGTTTAATTATCCAGAAAAGCTCATCAGTCTCATCATCAATCTGCTTCACACGGAATGGAACACAGCGAATCCACCTGCACAAGGGCTTGGTACACTGTCCCACTACACACCTGAAGAAGACTCCACAGTCACTGACGCAGCTCCCCACCTGAACCACAGGTCCGCTAGACGTGTAATTCATGACATTATTTCAAACAGCCTTTTCAGGCTTTTTAAAATGTAAGAAAGCTTGATCTCCACCTGGATGCTCTGGTCCTGCAGCATTGATTCAGCCTGACCTTTATCTTACATCTCTCTTGCTGGATCGAAATCATTGATGAGTGCATAGAAACTCCCTGACTGCTCTGTCTTCCTGATTGCCCTTTGATGATCAGTGCCTTGCAAAAGTATTCAACACAGTTTCCACATCACGTTGCTTTAAATCTTGCAGTTGTGGTACTTTGAAGTAAATTCAGGTTACTTTGAAGCAACTTTAATTAATTTAGGTGTACGAAATGATTGTGCATAATTAGTTGAGTGGCATCTGTCTGCGTGCAATAATCAAGATTTAAGATTTATTTATTACACTATGTTTATTCTAGACACAACACAGCACATTTCTCCATGTGCACCATCACTACAGTCAAGCATGGTGGTGGCAGCATCAAACTATGGGGATGCTTCTCCTTACCAGGGACTGGGAAGCTTGCTAGTTTGGATGGAGAAATGTACAGAACAAAGCACAGGCAAATACTAGAGGAAAACCTGTTTCTAGTCTGCTAAAGACTTAAAAACTGTGAGAAAAGTTCAGCTTTCAGCAGGCCCAATGCTACACTGGAGTGGCTTAAGAATAAGAAAGTCAATGTTCTTGAGTGGCCCAGTCAAAGTCAGGATCTGAATCCTATTGAGAGAGCTTGAGCAAATCTTCTGAGAAAGATGGGCAAAGGTTGCACCAAACATATACCTGTATATACACCTTATACATATATCAGTATTATATTTTTCGTTTTTGCTGGTATTTACTGTAGCTTATCTTACCCTTAGATGTCTTTGGTTTGAGGATTCAGGTTTTTCAAATAAAATATTCATTGTGCATCATTTCTGTAACTGGGACCATTGGAAGGGAGTGAACACTTTGCAGGTGCTGCATGTGCGCCCTTGCTGTGTGCTGTGTGCCTGTCCTGCTGCTGCAGTGCTCACTGCAGCTCGTTCTCATCTGGCTCAGCAGGCGGTCGGCAGTGTCTGCCTCTGAAGCCCAAGCACTGGTCTTTCCTGTTAACTGGTAAGAGCAGAGATCCAGTCACTCGCACAAGTGCTCCCTCTGTTGGCCTCACTTGTGCTTTACTTGAACAACCCGTATTGTATTCCAATCTCTACAGTATTAAAAAAGATCCATAATTAAACTCCATTAACAGCCTGCCGTCTGCCTGTAAGAAATGTCTTCAGACACAAGGCTGTGAAAAAGTGATGGAGCCTGCTGAGAGCTAGTTAGGCACGAAAGGAAAAGAGATTTAAAATTAAATGTAAAAATTACTGATCAGTTAAACACTGACATTTCCCTGTTGCACTGTAATTGCAAGTCATGCACACACTGATCATAAAATCCTGAAGTAATAATGAAATTTCACACGGCTTTACTCAGCCAGTAGCCTGCCAGAACTCCCCTTGAGGTCACTGTATTCAGCAGATTGCCCCCAGCTTCACATTATAAAATTCCTTCTTTTCGTTTTTGCCTCATTCACCCTGAATGATAGTTCAGGTATCTGAAGTGTCGTTCGGGTGTCTTCAGCAAGCATTTTTTATAGCACAGGAAACCCCAGATCTGCCCATGTAGTACGGCCCTGAGAACAGTGGCACTTGCCATGACGTGCTGCTGCAATGTGGAGGAAGTGGTGAAAACACATCCTCTGGTCCGCCTGACAGCCTGAGTTCTGCTCGACAAGCCCTTGTCAACACTTGTCAACCCACCAGCGCTAAAGACCTTTGACTAAACGCTGCCTCCTAATACTGCAAATATTGATAGGAAAGATCCAAGATTTCTAAAATAAGGTAATTTAGTAAAAGTAAGCGAATTAAAAAAATATACATTTGCTTCTCATTCAAATCAGCCATTTAGCCTCCAGGCTGCCAAGTCCAGGTTATCCGCAGGTCTTCTCTTACCCCACAAATGTATTTTCGAGTCATTTCACGGAGTCGTGACTGCGATCGCGGCTGTGTCACTGAGCCCCGCACATACCCTGTGGCTTCAACCTGCCTTCTATATACTTTACTACACTGGACTAGGGGAATAGAGGAGTATCATCACATACTGTACCAGGTACAGTAAAACCACAAATGTGTCTGTGGTGAGTTTACCATTGAATACCCCCGAGTTCCCATGGTCTGGTGCAGGAAAGGTAGTAAAGGCAGTTGATTTGAAATATCGGAAAACACAGCCGTAGAAAAAGACTGACAATCCTGTGTATGTGGTAGCCTTTCATAAGGTCAAACAATCTGTGGGCTCCTCTGTACTGTGTACGATGTTGCAAAACTATGTGAGAAACTGCAATAATATTTCTGCTCTTTATTTTTCAAAGTGGATACTGAAATGTTTGGTATAAGACAGTTTACAAGGCTTCGTTAATCTCCTTCTTCAAAAGACTCTCTGTAGTAACATTTCTGATTCAGCTTGTAGAAAGCACACAAATCCCTTCATCACAAGTGCTTTTTGAAATGAAATCTCCCTTTTTTTCAGGTTTACCTCACTGAGTTAGTATACAATATCGAGGGCAGGTTTTTAATTCCTGTACTAAAAAAGCAACAAATTTAAACTTAAAATTTAATTAACACTATAAAATCTGGTTGAATGCATGTTGTGCCTTTTAGCTTAAAGGCTTCAATCATTTAATTGAGAGGGCTGGCCAGCGATTCAGTGCTGTGATCACAGGCACACGGCGAGTTCTGGTTCTACTGACAGTAAATCCCACTGAGCCCGTTGCCATGGTGCACTATATTTGGGCTACAAACTTGCTGTAGGTTTTCCCTTTCTGAGCTCTGTTTTGAAATGAGAGGACTCTGCTGTAATTCAATTACTTGTGCAACTCCAGTTTGGTATACCGTTTTTCGTTTTTCATTCCGATCTGATTCATTCATTTTAAAAAAGATCCATAATTAAACTCCATTAATTATTAATTAACTCCAGGATTCAAACTGATTTTGAAGAGTTTTGTCTTTTGCTGGGGCACAGCAATAAAGAGCAGCGTTGAGCTGCTTTCAGAAGCTGGATAAAAATATGGACATTTACAGTGCAGGTGTGTCATACTCCAGATACTCTACATCGGAGAACTGCTCTGAAAGAATAAAAGACCTAGGAGTAACACATTTATTCTGAGAGCTGGGCACTGATTGGCCGAATTTATTTTCTGCACACAGCTGAACCTCCTGCCCAGGAGATAATGGGCCAGACAAAATAAAATACACAAGTGATCTAAGCACTCCTGACAAGTTTAATGCAATAATAAATTCCTCTTAAGAACACCCAAATAAAGGTCTATTTGATGAAAAAGCTGCTTAACACAGCCAGCAATGGAAATACTTTCTCATGCTGTATCTGCACTGACTCTCACTGCTTATCCCAGAAGCAGGAGGCTGCAGCCTCTTTCAGCTCCTCTGTTCCAATGGCTGCTGTGGGTCAGGCCTCTCTGTGTTAAATCAAAGTTTGACGAACATTTCCAATATTTAATAAAAACAACTGAGCCTTCAGAAGGAAAACAAGAGCATCAGCACCTGCAAATCTCAGGCCTCTGGATACATCCGTCCTCCTTACTCCACTCCCCTGCCATTTGAGAAGTAGGCTAAGGCGGTGAAATTACATGCAGTTAGATCTGACAAGCCTTTGCCAGTATAAAAGGGAAAGAAAGAAAAAAAAAGATCAAAGATCAAGGGCTTGGCTCTGTTTCCACTGGAGGAAGATGGGAAAAAGAGGAGAGATGCTGGTCAGTAAGAAATGGCTAATCTGGGCAAAGGCAGTCCCACACCTTTGGCTGAGCTGCACGAGGCCAGAAATATCTGCCTCTTTAATGTGCTGTTAAGTCTTCGAACATTTCGGAACACTCTGTTTCCATGCCAACTGGACTCTGAGAACCGAGATTCATCCCACTGAGCAAGTCACCTGAGGTGAAGTGTAGAGGAGGTCATCACGTGATCTGAGCACTATCTGCAAACCTTATTCAATCAGTAGCCTTTTGATGTAAAAGCTAATTAAAGTAACAAAACTGCAACCATTGGAAGGAAGCTAAAAAGCTGGTGTGAGACGACATCTACAGGTGTAGCTCCACGGTAGCTAACAGGAAATCGAGCATGGGTACAGTAAATCAATGTTTTAGAAATGCTAGTAGATTTAAAACTGCCCATACTATCCCATATAAAATTTTGCTCTGATAATTTTACCATATTATTTTTGCACTTTTATTGTGGTTTTATCTTTTTTCCCCCATTGTTTTACAGTGCCTTCAACATGCTATTAGTACTACCGCAAGCATTCCTTAGGAATCTTGTCATGGAGGAGCAGTGGGCCGGATTCCAGACCTACAACTGGAAGTCTGTGGGTTCACGTCCCTGCTGAGAAACTGATTTTGTACCCTTGAGTGAGGAACCTCACCCGTGCTGTTTCCGTAAAACACCCAGCGGTACGGTATATAGGGGTGAATATACACCGAAACTGGGTTGGGATAAAAATGAAATCTTTATCATTTCGAAATTAGCCATCAGAGTGAGTGCAGACATTCTATGGTAAACATTCCAAGGTGCTATTCCTTCCGGCACCATTCAGTAAACACTAGACTGGAGCTTGTGCGCTATGCCAAAGATCCTGATGAGATCAGTCCGCAGTTTCTTCCCAGCAGTCAGACACTGGCAGTGTGACGCGTGGCCACACGGAGCTGCTCCCATGCTCCGCCACTGTGCCGCTCCAGGGCTGCCTCTCTGCTTCCCTTTCCCGTGTAAACACCCCCCCCACCCCAGCCTTCTCCCCCCATGTGAAATAACAGTGAAGACATAATGTGCCTTAAAAACGAAGACCTTTCCTGCGTCTCCATCCCCCGGGACTGTGACGCATCTGAGAACTCTCCCTGGATCGACGACGGCTTCACATCTCTCACCCTCCTCCTCCAGGGCTGTTCTCTTTGCTAATTTTTACACTTCGAGCAGTGATTCCGACTGCAGTTGCACTCAAGAGGGGAAATTATTCTCCAGGTCTGCATTACACCCCAATACAAGTTACAACATCCTGTATTAAAGTAGCATTACAGCCCTCCACATCCTATCTCTAAAAAATGAGCAAGACAATTAGCATTACAGAGATTCATACCTTTATCCATACTCTTTAAAAAATGAGCAAGAATGCATTTTTTAAATGAGGTGTTGTAAGATCAGTAACTAAAATTCTCAACGTGTTCCTGAATTCTGAATCTCATCTGGATTCCTGTCCTGGCACGGTGTTTCCCTGGCTCAACATCCACTAGAGCCCTGCAACTGGACGCCCACCGACGGCGAGAGTGAGCAGCTGTGCCGGCCGCCCGTCGACTCTCGGTGAGCGAGCCGTCACGCAGACAGAGAGGCCTGAGAGCGCAGGGCGGCCGGCTCTGAGCAAGTGGGAAAGCTGGCAGCGCCTGACGGGGGGGGAGAGCTGATGGAAATCAAAAAGCGATTCGCCTGGCTGTCAGCAGAACCCGTCAAGATAAAGACAGCAGGACAGTCTGCGATCACACGTCGGGGACTTCCCCGGGGGGAAGAGCATTCCTCTTACGGGCTGTGGCGTCAGGCCAGAAGGACCTGTAGTGAACGTCAGGCCGGCCTAGATGTGCCGATCCCTGAATCCTATGTCAGGCGGAACGAAGCCTTGAGATGGCATTCCGTTCAGGCACGGGATACAGACGCGCCCTGGCGAACGATTTCTCTACACAAGCTGTCGAAGAAGGCATATCCCACATGTCTAATTTTATCACATTGGCAAAAACTGGCTTTGCGGAATTCAAAGAATTTTAGAGCATAAAGGAATAACCCTCGATATACAGTATAAGATGTTTATGAAGTTCTGCTTTCTTATAATCATGTGCTGACACAAAGCATCTGTGGGGTGACACATGCATCACCCAGCCTTGTTGCTGAAGCCGATACTCTGGCTTCTTTCAAGAAAAATGGAGCTGGATGAGATCCTGGGATCAATTAGCTACAGTAGCAACCAAACAAGCCAAGCAGATAAAACGGCCTCCTCCTGCTTAGGATGTCAGGATCTTCAGCCAAAGGTCAGTTGCCTCTACTGAAACCCCTGTGTTATGAAAACATGTCACAGACATCACGGGGACAAGGGCGAGAGACCTTACCTGTAGAAGTATGAGCAGCCTCTGACTGTGTTGTGGCTGAAGTATTCCTGTGTTTTCTCATTTCCAAAGTCTTCCAGCGGGTCTGACCATAGTAAGTCACACATCGGCCCGAACGCTGGAGGCTCTTTAAACCTGTCCAGCTGGAGAAAAAAACCTCCTGCAGTCTTGTTCCGAAAAGTCACAAACAAACAGCTTGACTAGAGAAGGACTTGGTCAAATAGAAATTACAAATAATTTGAATAAAATGCCTCATTTTTATAGTGTTCAAAACATTGAAATAATGTGATTTTGTTGCCTTACTCAGACATAAATAGTTCTAGGTTGCATTTGTGTCTTTAGAAACTTAGTGAATGAGGCTGCACTGCTACTTGAGAACGTGTCAACAAGTGTCTTTGAAGATGTCATTCAATTGCATCAGAACTCAGCAGCCAACACCAAGTTAATTCTACAGCTTTTATATCAAAATGCTTTTAACAAAACAAATTACTTTTTTCAGTTCAAAAAGACACTAAGACCTTCCCTTGTTAACTGAAATATTAAATAAACGTCTTTCTGTCTACCTTCATACTTATTTAAAGTGAACCTTTTGTTTTTCTTTAATACTTTGGAAGCACGCTAGTCCAGTGCGTGCAGTTGATCTAAGAGTGCACGATGGAAAACCTAATGATAAAGAATGGATTCACCTTTATTTTAAGTTTCAAAGAGAAACACAAAAGAGAAAGTGAGCAGCGGCCTGAACTGAGCAGCTATGGTAAACCGGAGAGCAGACGGCTGCGCATGGACCCTGAGTGGAGGTCCCTCCAGCTGCTCCTCTCTCCCGCGCATTCTGTATCAGACTCCCGAGAGCTTCAGCAGACACCCAACAGCTCTCTTTAAGGTGAAGTGGAATAACACTGATGCATTTAGATAACAAGAAAAATAATGATAGACTTTTACACCAGTGGCTCTCAGCTCTGGTCCCGGAACACAGCCCCGATGAGGGTAAAGTTAAAAGCTTCAGTGACGTGTAAAAAAAAACAGGCGTTCACAGCTACAGAACTTCACTGGCGTCGCCTCTAGAGAACCCAGAACTGCAACGAAAACAAGGGGCTTTTCTCAGCTTTTCATGGCCAGAGCTGGCTGACTGAGAGTGCTGAGCCCCCCCACATGGCCACACTCCGGGGCTCAGGGAACCAGGGGCAGCTCTTCAGAACCAGCACACACCACAGGTCACACGTGGCAACGAGAGGACAGGAACAAGCAGCCCTGCTGGGTTGCTGAGGCTGACACCTTGGCCTCTTTCAAGAAACTGCTGGACGACATCCTGGGATCAATGAGCTACAGTCAGCCAAACGAGCTCAATGACTGCAGAGCTTCCTCTTCCTTCCTTTCATCATTTCCTACAGTAGGTTGTGTCGCAAACTATTCATCCTCACCTGAAAGCACGAGCTGGTTTATGGGTCGCAGCTCACTGGGCCCACGCCACCTCACACACAGCCCCGTCCAGTCTCGTTAGCAGCTGCTCGTTAGAACAGTGCATTATTTCAAGCGGCTTTCATTGGAACACTGTGGGCTTTGAGCGTACGAGGTGTAACAGGGCGAGAAGCTCTGGAAGAAGTGGTGCGCTCCCCTTGCGCATTTCCAATACCAAAATAGCACATTTCTGATTCATTCAAGGCATCGTATTGATCCGGCGACGGGGAATCTATCTACCAGCGTGCATTCTGGGATTGGGCTGTTGTTAGCTGCGCTCGATGAGTGTGACCGGTTTCCTGCTTTTACCTTTTTGATGTCGTCTAGGGTGTGGATTTCGGGCGACAGTCCCCCGTGGACACACAGGAACTGCTGGTTCATGAGGGCTGCCAGGGGAAGGCAGTCGAAGGCATCCATGCACGAGTCGTACACCTGCTCCGAATACTTGATTTTACCTGAATCGAACACCAACAAACAACACGCAAACCCAGAGAAACAGTCAACATGCTTGCTGTGACCTGCCAGGCGGTGAAATCACAGACGTACCCTGACAGATGAACCTGGCCAGGCTACATGTAAGTGTATATAGTTCAGTACTTTGACTGGATTATAATGAATGCGAGAGAGACACAAAATATGTGGACTCACCTAGCTAGGGGAATAGCAGCCTCTCTGAGGCTGGACAGGCTGTCCAAACCCCCTCACTAGTGCAAGGAATGAGCCAGGGAGCGGCTGCACGGGTGTAGATAAAGATGGAGGGGAATGCGAGAGAGATACACAAAGGGAGGTCTTGGTGGGAGACCTACACCTGCAAGCGAGTGGACATGATTGGGAGATCAGGATGTAACCTTCCCCCCCAAACTGGTGTTGTACACTATGGTATTGTATGGTATGATGTAGATATTATTCCACAGAGCTCCTTACTGGTTTTTCCTTTGTTCTGTTGGCATCAGGCTTTCAAACAGATGTGTGAAAGTCTTTGGATTTCTCTGTGCAGATGATTGCATCAATTATTAACAGAATGTCAAGCAAGGAGGCCATTTCAGCTTTGCTGTACTGTACAGAATGTAATCAAGCAATTAAAGTTTCTCGTGTGCCTCTGATCTGGGGTTTCCTGTTACTGCTGCCCTGCAACTATTGCTGCTCTCAGGAGTTTCTGTTCCTTCCAATTAATCAATTATATCTCTGCAAGGATTTCTTCCTTTTCATGCCATTTTATCTTTTCATTCCAATTCACGTTTCTACAATTACAAGTAAAATTAGGGAACCAGTCCTGACTTTTATTTAGGAGCTGGAACAGCGGAACCTCTGGAACCTGACTGACTCACATATAGGGTCTGCCGATGTGGACAAAAGTCTGAATAATTACTGGCCTATTTATTTTTAAATTGCTATGCAGTTTTAAGCACAAGGTTATAAACAAAGCTGAGGTTTTCCACAGACAGCGCTTACGCAGTCTGATCCTTTGTGCATCTCATCTGAACCCCACAGTCTTGAGAAGAGGTGTTTTCAGTTTTCTTAATATCTTTACCTTTTTGACTGCTGAGATCTTGAAATCTGTAGAGAAACAGTGAGCAAAGAGAGCTGAGAGATGCAGGAAGAGCAGGAGTGTGAGGCCAATCCGAATATTTCCATTAGGAATCTCCTCCAAAGTTTGTCCATGTCACAAGGTTTCCAGAAGCAAGAGGCATTTTTTTCAGTAAGTCACAGTCGAAATGTTTGGATTCGCTCTTAATGCACAGCAAGCCTTCAAACACAGTGGGTGCCAGCTGGGGTCTGTTTGTTGAGGCATCACCAAGGCAGGACGTGATCACTGGAGCCTCTAGGGTGGGTCTGGGTGGGACTCAGGATACGGATCCATTACCTGATCCTGGGTATGCTGCATGTGCAGCAGAATAAAGTGGGAAAATAGGGAGAGGAAGGCGATTCTGACACTTTAGAAGGGGTAGTGGGAAGGTGAGGTGTTGCATGAGGTAAGAAGGAAAAAACGTCAGATTAATGGATCCTGGTGAGCATCAGAAAAAGAGAAATTCTCATGAAGAGGAGCAAATGATGCTCAAGACCAAAATGCTCTGAACACCTTTTGTGCTGCATCTTGCCTTCTGACCCGGAGTACAGAGTTCAAGGATTGCTTTTTTACTGTATGTTGCAGTGTACAAATGATTTTTTCCAATTCTGCTGTACGAACAGCAGGTGCACCGAGATTCAAACTGCCTCCTTTTAGCTTCTCAAGACAAAAGTCTTCCCCATCTCAGTCACCCACCTCCTGCTAGACAGGCAGAGTTTGAGCAGTGCAGGCACCTCTGAGGGCCTTCTTCGTCCTGGAGCAACGTGCTTCACGATGTCATCAGAGTCGATTCACAACCGTGGGATAAAGAATGGCTCAAACGTCACGTGCAAACGGATCATTTAATATGGCAGCAAGTGTGAAACAAAAATGGAAAACTGGCAGTTCAGTCTGCGCTGGGCTTTTTTTCTACGATCTGCCTGGAGATCATCTTGGCTGAAGCTGGAACCCTGTCCTGATTCACAGAAAGACGCCTGCACCCCACGACGCAGCCCCGACACCGCGCGCAGTCTGTGGAGTGACGAAGAACGCAGGACTCACAAAAGGCCTCCTGTTTTTACACACTGAGGTACAACAGCTGTGCAACACCATCGTCTGGAACAAAATCACTGTGTTTTCATAGCCTGTACACGTAAAAGAACCAAATGTTTTCTTGAATCTGCCTTTGTAATGGGGTTGCTGTAACATTTCTTTCTAAAGCAGGGCGGGCTGCCTTTCAATAAAAACAACAGTATTGAGGTTGTTGATGACGAAGTGAGAATGCATACTGCTACTAATATATTTTTTAGCGCGATGGATGTTTAGATATATAACTTAGATAGCATCTTTCAAGTAAATATCCCAAAGTGTTTCACAGAAATATACCCTCACTGTTTTGCTAACTCTCTCTGCAGTCTGAATATAAAAAGTCTTCATGGTGTTTCTCCTGTTTTCTCTCTGTTCAGAGGCATTGGTCTGCCTTCTTGTTTCTTCCAAACGCCCGAGCTCGGCCCCTGGACCGCTTTCGTGATTTTCTGTCTTCTCCGTGGCCTGGGCTTTTTCCGAAGTCAGTGTCACCATGGCAACGAGTAACTGTAGCGATCTCCATCTACTTATAAGACTTTACTCCGTCCGTAAACCCTCCACCCCTGAGACTCCGTGTCCCTCAGCTTCCTATCTTCTCGCTTGTCAAGGCACTGTCTTGTTGTATCACCGTCTGGCCCTCAGATGTTACTCTTGCGTAATAGCTTGGCCTTCTTGAGACAATCAACCAGGAGCACAACTTTTTAATGCATAAATAATGCGATATACTGGCGGGGTCCACTATTCCGCTATTTTAAAAATGGATCTGAAATGACTTTAATTTCACTCACAGATACAGTTTAATACCGTCTTCTCCAGCCCAGAACTGCATTAACACCAGCGAAAGTGTGATGGAGCTACTGTAGGTGTGAACTTGTACGCCTGCCTGCGACTCCAGTCTCAGTGCGCAAAGCACTCTCAGAGGAAATGATACAAGCTTGGTAGGTCTTTCTGGCACAATTACAATCAGCACCTATTACCACCTGCAGATGAAAGAGACGTCTGCTCTGTCCACTGATTAGTGGTGTCCAGCCACTGGGAGTCTACAACAGACCAACATGGGGAGCATTTCCTTCAAAGACGGAACCAGATTATGATGAGGAATTGGCAGAAAAACGCAGTTTTCCTGCAGAATGACACTGTTCCAGAGAAGAGTGTGATCAGCGCACAGTTTGCAGAATCAAAGAAAGAAGTCTCAAGCATCACGTTCCTATTCATGTGTTCTTTCCACTGGGTATAATTTGCCCTAAAAAACAACATTTTTAAGGAAAGTCTTTCTAATGTGAAATAGATCATAATTGAGGATGTGCACTGCTTGACTTCCCCATCTGGGAAATCATAACCATTAGAGGGTGAAGGATTCAAATTGAAATTAATTTTTAGCTTATCACCTGCACTCCTATGGATGACAGACGCCTATTCTAGGCTTTGCCAACTATTTTAAAATCTGAAAAACGGAGATCTGGCTCAGGGTCCCACGTGAGCTGAGAACAAAGATCCTTCCTGAAATAGAGCCTGCTTCCTGTGCACAGAGCATTTAAGACCACTTCTCCCTTCAGATGTTTCAAGCTCTAAACGCTGGACTCAGCACAACTTAGCCCGATGCCCATCGCCAGACTTCCAAGGAGTCCAGCTGAGAAGTGCACAGACTGAACCTGTAAGGTCCACAGGATAAATGTCCAGACTCCAGTTAGTGAGCCGCAGTGCACGTTGGCTCAGTGTTCACGTGGGTTTCCGCCACACTCCTGAGTGTCCTGAGAGCAGCACTGACTTGCTCCCTGTGCTTCGGGAATAGGCTCAGTTTCCCTCACAGGCTGCAAGGTTCTCTCTGCTCATATATGGAGGCTCTCCGTACTACATGAAGTGCCGCTGCTAATCTTGTTAGAAATATGTGTGCTTTTCACCCACAGCTAAGAACATCAATTCTAACCTAGCACTCCTGGTCATGGTCTACTAGTGAAATAATTTCATTGAAAGGTGCACTTATTTTTTAGCTAATCACCTGCACTCCTACAGTATGTTTGACACAACTATGTATCACTCACAAGTAAAATTGCGCCCATCAGGGGTATTCTGAACCCCCCCGATTTTTACGTCACTGAGGATCAAGTGCAAACAGAAAACATTTGTTTGTTTCTTTAACAAATTCCTGTGCAATATATTTTCTAATTCTTGCAAATCCTGGCCTTGTACAGTAACTCTCCCATTCCTCCTTTCCTTGTGGAAGAAGACGGTGTCGGTAATAAGTGGGAGGGCGTTATTTCGAGGTATGTCTTGTTACATTCTGAGCCGCAGTGTGACTGCATGTGTAGGGACTGACAGCTGGTTTTCATAGGATATACCAAAGAAATCCTGGGATACTAACATAACATCACTTTATTAGCTCTATACAATTTCTTGCATTAGGAATTCATCTTTTCACATACTGTACCCCAGCTTGATCTCCAGGAGACACACAGACAGGGAGAGAAGCTGGGGGTCAGACCGCAGGGTCAGCTATTGTACAGCGCCCCTGGAGCAGCTGGGGTTAAAGGCCTTGCTCAGCGGGCCCAATGGAGTAGGATTCCTCTGCCGGCTGTGGGTTTTGAACCGGCAACCTTCCAGCCACAGGAGCAGATCCTGAGCCACAGAGCCACCGCTCCACCCCATAATCATAAACACAGCTAATCATAAAGCAACCGAATGGTGTTAATACGCTCAGTGTGATGCTACTGAGTCTTGTCATGAGAAATGTTTTTTAAGGTCTCTGATGGTGTCTGACTTTTCTTAATTTCAAAACGAGGGGTGCCTGAACAGAAGGCAGGTGCTTCTATGGTTAACCCTGACGTTGGACCTTGCATGTAAACACACACAAAGAAGACAAAAGTACTTACATTCTTGTTTGAAAGTGAAATATTCTGTCAAATGTCTACATTCGTGGTTTCCTCGGAGTAAAAATAATGTCTTTGGATAGAGGATTTTCAATGACCACAGGTACAAAACGCACTGGAAAAGAAGGACAAAAATAAGAGACGTTACAAAGGAAAAAAGACAACCAGAGCGCGCATTTCCAGACTCCTAAACCCTCTTGAAAGGTAGGAAAACTGAGGTCCACTGAGGCAGACTGCTGTGATTCTCAGCTTTTCTATAAGGTTTTCTCTTACTCTTCTTGTAAAGAATTAAGACAAAACTGGCCTCAAGCTAGCCATTCTTTTACTGATATCCGAGTAGGAAACAATTACATTTGCAAACATTTATTATATAAATGTACAGTACTAATTTGACTGGAGACCTCTAAATAGCATCACATTCACTCTGACACAATCAGCCCACTATTTCTGGGCTGGCAAATACAACGTGTAACACCAGGACGAGCTCAGCACTTCTTGAGTCAAAGCCTACATTATTGTTTCCAGCTGAACCATGTAAAAACCACACAATATGCAACATTCAGACACAAGGGCTGAAGTTGCCAATCAGCGCAAGATATATAAAGGACTATTGAAATTTGAAAGGACTGGAGACAGAACACAAGAGGACACCAAAACGGGCACATTCTCCCACAACATTTACCTCACCTCAATACTAAAGTAACCCCTGTCGACGTAGTCCCCTAGGAAGAGGTACCGTGTGGTGGCTGGAGACCCACCTACTTCGAACAGCTTCATCAGATCAAAAAACTGGCCGTGGATGTCCCCACACACTGCAAGACAAAACACAGCAGGACAGTGAGGCTCGTCTCACAGTGAGAAAACACTGATATCTGTACACCAGTGGCTGGAGATTGTAAAGGGAACAAAGTACATCAGAGCACGGAGCAGTGCTATTCCCTTGTAACAAGCCCGTCACAGCGCGATCACACCCTGGGCTTTCTGGAGCACGTCAACCCCCGGTGTCCAGGTGGCAGGCCTGAGGGGCAGCTGGGTTTCTTGTTTCTGTGACTGCGAGCAACCCTGATGCATGTCAGGCATTGTTCCACGACCAGGTGCGCCTGCAGGACAGAGGTGCGTCAACTCTGGCGCGTGATTGACAGTTCAATTGTTCATGTTGTTTATCCTAAAAGTCTTCATCCTATCACCAGTCTCAGTGAAATCAGAGCTGCTACCCATATTGCATTAAAGGACCCTCTAAGATCCTCTTAGGTATCACAGACTGCTAGCGGAACACCTCTGATGTCGGCACCTGTGTCAGCAGCCAGGATCACGACACCTGCACTCAGAATCACGTCTCAGGGGAAAGACAACAGGGGACGTGGAGTTCGCAGCCCCCCGGCTGAGAGAGAAAACACCAGACATCTCATCTGGACAGTATCCTTATTTCCCTGCCATTGTGCCTGGCAGTCCGGGAGCACTGCAGCTGTTCTCCTCGCTGCTTTCCAGAGATGTAGTGCAAACTCCCGTTGCCATGGAGACGTGTGTTTTCATCCATCCGTGATCGGAAAGCTGCTTATTCCTGGTGAGGCACGCGGAGACCCGGAGACCCTCCTGGAAGCACAGGGGGTGAGGCAGGACTGCACCGCAGACAGGAGGCCGGCCAGCCAATGGCAGACACGTCCTCGCGATTTTTTTTAAATCCAGGCTGGATTTTTTCTGTTGCTAGCTGAGCTCCTTTCCTCCTGGTTGCAGGCTCCTGGCTGTTTCCTCTGCGCCACTGTGCTCAGACAGGGTTGCCAGCTGGCCTAGTGTGACCCCTCGGCCTGACAGACAGGTCCAGCTTCGCATCTCTCCAGAGAATGATTTACAGCCACTCTTGCGTGAGTGCACATGTCCGCACACACACAACTATTCACAATGTTTCCCTTTTCACTGCTCACACAACCTACCACCACCACCGCTTGTGCACTCTGGCCTGGAGGGACAGGGCTGTAGGTCTAAGTCTCTGTGAAATCTGAAAAGACAATAGCTGGATTAACCATGACCAGCTTGCTTATTTATGTTAAGGTGCAATTCACAGAGACATAAAAGAGAATATTTTTGATAAAAAGAAACTTATTTGAAGGAGGCTTTTTATGGGACTTAAGTATTTATTATGAAGAAACAATGGGGAAGAAAACCTGATTCAATACTATTGCCAAGGGGCTTGCGTTCATGAGATCCGAGAACTGCATTCTGTAGCATTTCATAACACTAGTTTTGTCTCAAACACGTGTGTAGACAACCATTTGTTAACACAGAAAATATTAAAATTCTTACATTGTTAAGGGACTTTTTTCAAACATTTACTTGTGTACATTTGTTGTTGCCCAGCTATTGTGAATGGACACAGGAATGCTGAAACTGAGAGGCTTCTGCTTTAAGCGCATTCACTCTGTACACATTGCACACCTCGCACTGTGCCCCTCTGTGATGTCCCCGGGGAGCTCTGACACAGCCCTGGCCTGAACTGGCAATCTATCAGATCTGGAGTTTCTGTAGATGTGTGAACAGCATCCACATTCCAATACAGAGCATTGTAACTGTATTGCACATGGTTACTTCAACCTAAAATCACCAAAGCACCACCAGAACAAATGCAGCTTCAAAATCCATCTTGGATCCTACCAGTTCTCATAACGACACTAAAACCCATCACAAAAGCCCACAGCTGCGTCTTGCACAGTGATCTTCATGTGTTTGAGCCTGTTGTTTTGACACAGCAGTACCTCTCAGTCTGCAGATGCTGGAAGATATTCTACCTTTACTTTTTGTTGCCTCCTTTAACCTGTCTCCTAGCAACAGGGTTTCCAAAATGATTTTCCAGCTAATTGCTCACTTTCTGTTTTTTTTAGCTCTGAGAGTGCTAAGTAACTCTAGTCAGTGAAACATCCTCCCCTCACATTCCTGTCCCTTGTATATGTGCTCATCTGCCTGCTCCCACTCAGCGCCCAGAGCCGTGTGTGGGAGAATGCACAGTCTGTGCATGGCTCAGAGGAAGCAGGCTCATCAGGCCAAAATAACAGCAGAGTCTGCCACAGAGATGCCACACAAACCACCTCTCTGCGCGCCAGGGTTGAGTGGCAGCATGGCCTTCGTATTTCGTTCCCTATAAACAAAACTTTCCCATCCATGGTGAAATCCATTCCTCGCGGATCCTCTCAGGTCTCCCAGCTGTGGGGTGGCCCCTGTGCTGTCAGCAGGAAACAGCTGTCTATCACAGCAGCAGCAGCTTTTTTTAGCGGAGCCAGTTCTGCTCCCATAATCCAGTGCAACAGCGGTCTTCGGGCTCCACCCAGGAGGGGCCCAGGGCCTCGTCTCCACACAGCCTCCGTCTCGCTCCGCCAGGGACCGTGGACCAAACCTGCGGTACCCCAGAACTCTCGCTGCCCGGCCTGACACCCAGACATGGGGAACACCCGCTGCTCCGGCAGCTGGACTATCACCCTGTTCACGCGATCAGCGGGATACATTCCTTTTCTCCCAGTTTCCCCTCGGCCCCGCTGCCGAGCTCCACTCTGGTCCTGACCGTCTACTGGCGGCCGTATCTCAACAGATCAGAATTCAAACTACAGAGTTCCTGTCCACCCTACGAGTGACCCCAGAATCAAAGCCCACATGTGTTTGGCACATAATTATCCAAAATAGAAATCTTAATAAGAAGAAATAAATAAATAATACTAAGACGGACTGACTCCCATACAGGGTGTAGCCTTGCGCCGGTTGCTTGCTGGGATAGCAAGAAAGAGAAAGAAGCCGACTCAAAAACAAACAAATCCATTCAAGACACAGACAGCGCAGGAAGGCTGGACACTCAGGGAGAAAAGCAACAGGAGATTTTGAAGTATTTACAAATTCATTCTCCCAACATTACTTCACCATTAGGTGTCAAATCGATGTATTTAAACGCTAGAAGCCTTCTTATCAGCCCAGGTTTAGTCGTGTTCACGATCCCCAATTCCTACTTCACCAGCACAGTGCCGGCTCAGTGATGACACGAACGTTCTCACACCCACTTCCCATTTCCTTCAAATCTCTGGGCAACTAGACATTCAATGACACAAATAAGTACCTTATCATTCTGCATATAGCAGAGTTATAAAATATTTGAATTAAAAACATAATGGGCAATGTAGAAGTGAAAACAGAGTATTTACAGCACCAGAAATGTTTTAGACTGCCGGGTTCTGATAAAGCACAGAACGTCTGATAGCTACAAACAGGTGCTTTTCTGGAGGGAGGGGTTATTCCAGGGCGACACCACTGCAGAACTGGGTCGACACTCAGAGGATTTCAGTGCACATGGGCAGGTTTCACAGTCCCCGTTCATGAAGAAATCACTTTGTTTCATGCGTGTAAGAAGGAAAGCAAATATACACATTGGATGCTTTCAATTGGTCTGCCTTCCTGTCCAGGGTGAACCCTGCCTTGTGCCTGTTGCTTGCTGGGATAGGCTCCGACTCCCCCGTGACCCGGAGCCAGGAAACGGATGGATGCTTTCAATTGAGTAGCTCTTGAGTTGCGATATGCAAAGAAACAGACATGAAGAGGAGTCAGATTTCATCACCTGGGAGAGGACACGTTGTGAGCTTCTCCTTGTACTAATTAATTTATTTTAAGCAGGTCGTACTAACTCCAGCAGAACACGTAAATCAATATTTGTGTTTGATGTATAAAAATACATCACCTAGACGCTGCACTGCCTGTTCTACAGCAGCAGTAAACTGAAATATTCACCTACAGTTCAGAGCATGGGAGACAGAACTAGATCTGAACCCTCAGGTATAGTTTTCTGTATAGTTAAATACAATCTCGTTTATTCCACACATTTAAAGACATTTATTGAAAACCGCACTGTTATTATATTTTAGTATTTCGGTAGATCAATAATGATCTACTGATCTACTGCAAAGATTCCAGAATCCAAGACATCAGTCTTTTTAAAGCAGATCACTAAAATACTGAAGTAAACAGTGGCTAAATCCACACAGTCACATCTAATATGCTGTTGGAGTGATATGGCAAATTGCCAAGACACTTCTGTCCGGTTCATAAGTTCATCGGGTCCAAAGCACACAGCTGAGTCAGCAACAGAATTTCTAAAGCAGCAAAGGACCTGTGAGCTGAATCCAGGCAGGAGACCAGGTTATCAGAAAGCAAGAACCAGCAAGGAGTGGGGAATCTCGCAGGACAGATAACTACAACGCATTCAGGCTAATTTAAACAATGAGAACATACAGTACCCAAAACCTACGGTGTACAGAAACGTTACTCTATGATAGATGTCGGTTTCAGCAACATAGTTCTGTTTGAAAACATTACGCATTGAAGGAGAAATATTCCACCTGCAGATTCATCGCAGAAAATCATTTAACAAAATCAATTGTAAGAGTTTAAAGGTGACTAGCAGAAAGACAAGCAAAAAGAGTGTATGTATTAAAAAATAATTTGTTGTTTAGGGCCAGGGTCTCCTTGCTCTGCCAGGCCACTGCTGGGTACCTGCTCTCTCAGAGCGCAAATAAGAAACGGGTGATTGATGGCACAAGGAAGGAGGCAGAAAGCTCAGTAGCGATGATTAACAGAGCTGATTAATGATGGGGAAATATCAAAAACAAAAACAGAAAACGGTCTTAACATTCCCTTCTATGCTTTTAATTCTAAATGAGTGCATTCCATGACTCTGCGTGTCAGAAATGGAAGACGGATGTTTTGTGCATATGAGCCAGGATTCCTGTACTGCCCAAGAGGAAGTGTATCACAGCCTTGTTCAGATGTTCACACTTCTCAAAAT